TAAGAACACTGGCTGTTCTTGCAGAAGACCCTGGTTTGAATCCCAGCACCCACATGACACCCTCTTCTGTCCTCCACGGGCACTGCACGACATGGGTGCACTTCTTACAAGCAGGCAATACACACATACACGTAAAATAAAAATAAATAAAATATTTAAAAAATACAACTTTAAAAAGAAATATTTAAAAGAAAACCAAGCAATTAAATTTTGAGAGGAAGACAATCCAGGGTGGACCCATTTCTTTTCCAACCTTTTCTGGAAAACAAATACAAAATACTTTTGCTTTGTCATGAAAATCAATAAGAATTTAACACATTTCCAAATCCTGTATGTAATTTCTTCTACTTGTATGTAAGATTCAATGTTTTAGCTACATCTTTTTTATGATTCAAGCAAGGCACATGTTCAAGTTAACTTAAATAGTGGGATGTTCAGTTGGTTTCCATTTTCTAAAAGGTGTCTTTGTTACATATAGTCTGTGATTTGGGGATTTAAAAAAAATTTTTTTGGTCTTTTGAGATACGGTTTTCCTGTAGTCCCAGATGGCCTGGAACTCACTATGTAGACCAGGCTGGCCTCAAACTCACAGACATCCTCCTTCCTCTGCCTCCAGGGTGCTGTAACTAAAGGTGTGCTCCACCACAGGGGATTAAAAATTTAAACCCAGTATGGTAGAGGAGAGCTTCCCTTTCACAGCAAGAGGATTCCCTCAGCATTTATTTCCTGGAATTCAGAGATGACACATTATGTTTAACATGATTCCATGCACTAGTATCAAATGTGGCATTTATTGGCCTTTAATTTTGAGCTTCATAAAGTGTATACTTGTCATTAGGTTAAAGAAGCCACTGACATGATTGATCAACTGCAAGGTAAATTACCGGGAAGCTCAACAGAGAAAGCCTCAAAAGCAGAGCTCGTGGCCCTTCTTGACTGCCATGACACGTGTTCCCTGGAGCTAGAGCAGCAGCAGCTGGCCCTGGGGATGCTACAGCAGTGAGCACTGAGCATGCTGAAGGACGGAGCTGTCCCCGCACCTGGAGAGGAGCCTCCCATCCTGCGGGAAATCATGGCGATGCAAGACCAATGCCTCAAGTAATTACACATCTGCTTTCTTTCATTGTTACAATTGGTCTTGACCCAAAGGGGTCACTTGTATCCTTGGGCATGGGGGGCGCTCTGTCACACCACCTTCAGAATGCAGATCTATTCCTGTTACTTCTACTTCGGAGTTTTCTTAACTCTTCCATCTTTTGTCTGACATACATATGTGATAACAGAATTCTTATCAGTGATGAAAGCATGGGGCAATGGCTCAGTGGGTAAAGTGCCTTCTGCACAAGCATTAGGTTCTCAGTTTGATCCCCAGAACCCACATTCATAAAACAAAAAAGCCAAATATGGTGGCACATACTTGTATTCCCAGCACTGGGGATGTGGAGATGGGCAGATCTCTGGTGCTCCCTAGCCAGCCAGCCTAGCCTACTTGGTGAACTGAAGGCCAGAGAGACCGTCTCAAAAAATGAGATATATAACTCCTGAGGAACAACACCCAAGTTTGACCTCTGCCCTCCACATAAATGAACACATACATGTATCTGTACACATATGTACACCCATAACACACACATCCAGATACACCCACAAACCAAGCAGGCTCAAAGTCTGCCTTCCTTCATTTTAAAGTGCTTATAGGTGATCAAAGAAACCATTTCAGTAAAGTCTGAAAAGGACACTGTACATGGATAAAGACCTGATAAAAGGAACTCAGGGAAGGAAAAGTTTATTTTGCCTCATGGCTGAGGGGATGTGTGGCAGGAAAGGCTTGATGGCTGGAACGTGCGGTAGCTGGTCACACTGCATCCCCAGTCAGGAAACGGAGTGATGAATGTGGTACTCCATTCTCTTTGTTTTCGGTTTTATTCAGTCTGGGACATCAGCCCATGGGATGGCACCACCCACATTTAGAAGAGCTTGTTCCTCTTCAGTTAAACATCTGTGGAAATGCCCATACAAACTTGCTCACAGGTGTGCCTCCTGGGTCACTCCCAATCCCTTCAAGTTGAGGAGATTGACCATTGGTGATACAAATGTAAAGCAGATGCACCTGATCTAGAGTTGGGAAAGAAGACATTTCTTCTGCAGCTAAAGACTGAGTCCGTTTGAGCTCAGCATTGAGGCAGAATGACATATAAGAAAGCTTGGAAAATCCCTGGGTGTGGAAGGGAGAAGATGAATGATTCAAGAGATATGAAATGCTAGCGATGGTAACACATACCTGTAATTCCAACACTCAGGAGACTAATGCAGGAGCCTGAGTATGTAGTAAATCCCTGGTCAGAAATGAAGTATGAACAGCTGAGCACTATTTAGAATGCATGTTTGACAATTCATTGGCTATATAGCATGGTAGGGCCAAGTGTGATACCAAAGTGTAGGCAATTAGTCCCATTTAGTGAAAGTGAACCTAGGAGAAGGTTGATCTTGATGTTTATAATCATCCTGATTCACTTCTTAGGCCATAGAAAAAGAACTATCTTGAGATAATTTAATTCCTATATTAACTAATTTCAGCTTATACCAGTCTACACTCACCTCTTTTAGTTTTTAGTGACCTTAGGGTACTGGGATACTACATCCCGAGAAACCTTTTTGTCAGATTAATTCAAACCATGACATTGACATCTTCGCGGTGGCATAGCTAAAGCCTGACTCTGTTTTAAAGGCTGTCTTTTCACAGCC